ACAACAGTGGGGCAGACTCACAACCGCGTTCTAGTGGGCAGGGTGAGAGTATCGAGGAAGGGTGGACACCTTGTCGCGAACATCTTGGATGAGATTCGTGACTGTATTCTCTAGAATTTTGATGCTCCTAGACTGTTGGGCCACGGACTCGCGAATTTCGCTCAGTTCCTGTTCCTGCTCTCGAACTTGTCGTTGTAAGCCGTCCAATAGTTGTTGCTGAATCTGTCGAACAGAGGCTTCTTCGACTCGCTGTTGCATCAAGTCGGAACGAACGGCGATGAGCTCGACCTGCGTGTATCTGATCCATCTTTCCAGTGATGCGAGCGGCTGAACCGCCGAGTCCATGCTTCGGGATATCCGTCAGTCGTGACGGACACGCAGGCACACCGAACTTTCGCAAGACAGCGTCCACCCGGCCGCACTGCGGAGACTAGCAGGACCACAGAAATCGAGCCCAAGCTAAGCAGCGCGTTCCAGGGACAGTAGCTAAATTGAACCTCACTGAGCCAAATGCAGCGTCGCCTCAGAACGGACATCGTGTACCTGATGCCAACCACATGGAAGCTGTGAACAGCAACGCACAGCACAGGGGACACCGAACAGCTTTTTTGGCAGAAGCACAGCCAGCCCCGCGAGGGATTGCTGCTGCGCCGCACTTTCGCAAGACAGCATCCATGCGGTTGCAAAGCTATTCTAAATCTGCCTATCAGCTACAACAGCACCTTCATCCTTCGCCACCCACTCTCGCGCTTTCAGGAAGCGCACGTACGCTGTCAAATAGCGCATCTGCACGAACGTCACTGACACGGCTTGCACCTCTGCAGCCTCCATTTCTGACTCCGACATACTAAAACCTCGCCAGTTCCAGGAAACGCTCCAATGCAACCCTCTCTTGTCGTTAGACAATGTTTGGAAAGGGCCTGCTCGGGGCATCAGCCAAGCGAGAAGGCCACTGACCACGTTGTGCAGCTCGTCCGGCACAAACCCGTAGCTTTCCTCGTCCGTCGTGTCGTAGCATTCCTCAGGGATGCATGGAGACAGGCTCGCGACCAGGCGGTGCGCCGCAAACTTCATGGTGCCCTCCCGAGTTGCCTCACAGGCTTTCGGCAACTCCGGCAACATCGTAGGCTCGACCCCAGCAGGTCGCCACCCCTCCAGTCGGCAACGCTTCAACGGCAAGAGGACGTGCAGGTTCTGGAGCAAGACCTCGCGTCAAACAGGCAAACGCAAACCACCTGCAAGTGATGACAACAAATAGCAACAAATAAAGCCGCGTACACTCGATTCTCTAACACTTTGATAACCGGCACAGCGACGGTCAAGGGCTTGTGCTGAAAGGAAGGCAGGTTTCTGTGCCTCTTGCCGCGGAGCTGCTGGCCACAGGCATCCCCAGCGGCTTCGTGCTCTTCTCGCGTGACTGCATCGATTCTGGCCGTCTTGCGCGTGCAGGCGCGCACGTCTGAGCTGTAGGCAGGTTTGTTTAAAAAGCCCTTCTGCCCAGGCCGAATTACTACGTACTTCATGGCTTCGTCGAGCATCTCCAATGACATCTGGGGCGACGGAGCATGCAACTGGGTCTTGGCGACCAAAAACTCGTGCCACTTGCACACAGTCGGAGCCCAAGTATCCCGGCGCATGAACTCCCAGCAGACACCCGCAGCAGCTTCGCCCGGATGCAGGCATCGAGCAACTGACTGCCTCCCTACATTTTCGCAAGGCTCGGTCGGCGCGGTTCGGCAGACAAGCCAAATCCGCGGAGTCGCAGAGTCTGGGTCTTCGCCATCAACAAGCATATCAGACACATCCTGACAGGGTTGGACAGCCAGGACATATGCTTCCACGTACTGTTCCAAACGGGCGTTCCAGTGGACGTTCTTCACGGCGCACAAAAGCCTTCTGCCGGCGTCGCTGATGCCTTGCTCCATTTCAAACAAGACCAGTGCACTAGAAAGAGGCCGCACCTCGCACACAGTAGACGCCCACCGATTCGTTTGTCGTGGTTCGCGCTTTTCGCCGACCAAAGAACTCGGCTCGGCTCGAGAAAGCATTGCTGGCGGGTGACTGGCAACGAACGAGAGCCCGATGCTGCATAGACAAGAAGGAAAATGCAACTAGCCCTTGCAGAAGCAGCACAGCCGCGACCGGGTGCCTCTTCTCTGCGCTCCATCCGCAGCCTTTGCGAAACACAACAAAAGTTCAGTATAGTGAGTGACAGCTGTCGACTTGATATGAGATTTAGCAGGGCAGGCGCTGTGACAACAAATGTAATTGTGCCTGCTCGTTCGTTTTGACCGGAGCGCAACTGGTGCCCGCATCATCGCACTTTCGCAAGACAGCGTCCATGCGGTTTCGCTCGGCATCTGTGATCGGAGCACTGCCGTGCATTCACGAGCCCATGCCCGCACCACTCTTTGACTGATTACGCCTAGCCGCTTCCGCGCGAGCAGCCTCCACGCGCAGGAAAAATGCGGGCTCCACGGAACAGCTGCGTGCCTTCAGCGCTGTCCTCTGTGCCTGAGCCACCATCCGAACGGCTCGCCTACCACGCCCCTCTTCATTGGCTTTGTGTGCTCGCAGCCGCTCGTTAACACCCGCCATCCGAGTCTGAATCTCAGCCTCCGAAGGACAACGACTCGATGCCCGTCCTCCCGCAGAGCTCGCTGGTGAAGATGCTCGGGAACACACAGGATTACCCTGAGACTGAGTCTCGCCAGATCTTCGTGCGAAAATGACAGGAAGCGAGCTCTCCTTGCCAAAGGCCTGCTGGTCCAGCATCTCGCGACAACGTCTCTCCAACGTGCCCAATCGAGCTTCCCTCTTATCCAAGCCGCCCTTCACCTGCTCTATTTTGGCCACACAGTCCGCGGCAGTCCGCTGCACCTGATCTATCCATGCCTCGCACTTGGCCACATGCTGCGCGTACAACTTCTTCAAGTCTTGCTCCACGCCCATCATTTGCTCACGTAACACGTCCGTCTGACGAGCTACTTCACTTCGATCGTGTTGCTGCAGTCGAGCCCACCACTGCTGTGCCGTATCGTCCATGGTGCGTCTGACACCTTCGGTTACTCGATCTTCAAGATGCTCCAAAGAGTCCAAACGACTGTCCTGTCGTCGAAAGCCTTCGCGATTCGACTGACGAGTCGCATGAAGGATCGTCTGCAAGACATCCGCCTTCCTTTCCACAGCTTCCACCCGCTGCAGAGCCGTTGAGTCCATGCTTCGGAATATCTTACAGTCTCGCCTGACGCGCCCAGCTTTCGCAAGACAACGTCCACTCAGCGGCGTCACGGCGGCAAACAAACACAACGTAAATCGAGCCCAGCTGAGAAACAACACAGCGAGCGAAATTGAAAACGGCTTAAATGCAGCCCCCCCCCCCCCCTCCCCCGGCGAGACCCGAGAAATCCCTTGAAGGGGATGACTACGTGCCTGCCCCTGCCCAAACCCGATCTGTCTTCGTCCAGCCTCATTCCCGACAATCGTCTTCTCGCAGCTCACAAGATCTGCGAGAGGTTTAGGGGGGGCAGTTGACATGGAAGGATAACTAAAGCAGAGGACACAGATGGAATGATATAACAAGGATCACAGGGCATTAGTCCAATCAGCCCTAAGGCGGCATCTGGCAACATTCCGAAGTGGATTCCGCGATCCATGTAGGGTCTTATTCAGAAGTTCGGGAGATATCCTATCCCCTAATTTCACAACCAAACTGCCCGCCTCGCGGAGCCGCGCCGCTGCTCGCCGCGTCTAAACCCCGATACAGGCATCGGGCAGGACTCATCCGACAAAGAAGCACACCCAACAAAAGCAGAAACGCAACACCGACCCTTCTAGCTACGCCAGATGCCGCCGATTAATTATCTGCACCATCACGGGCTCGATGAGCCGACCTGGACATTGACTCGCGACAAGCAATCTCTTCCTGTCGAAATTTCCTCGTCTTCATCCCAGTTCACAGCCTCACATGAGACCGTGTGACCAGTGACCGCATGCGGCCAAGCTGCTCACATAGTGACTTTGCTGGAGGTTCCTGGAACTGGTCGGCACATCGACCGCTTCCTTCACGGCAAGCACCACGGCGGCTTTGACTGCCCGAACGCAGCTATCATCCCAAAGACCAGCCGCCAGCAAACAACAATTGGCAACCGACCTCTTACGTTGCCGTGTTCCTGGTCCTGGACGAACCTTGACTCTGGCTGGATACTTCCGTGATCCGAGCTCTTGTCACGGCCGCTCCACTGCTTGCCAATGTCCACAAGCTGCTTGCCACTTTCGAGGACGAGCCCGTGGTTCACGTTCTCTATTGTACACCGAACCGAAGCCTAGAAGATCACAAGAACTGCAGCAAACACACTACACTCAAAGTGGCGCAGCGCTAGCCGTGAATACAAGTGTAAGGTTCGGGGAGTACCCTACCGGGTCGCGCCGAACGACTTCTGTGTTCCACTCGAAGCGCACTCCGAACACGCAACGCCTACGTAGCAGGTGTCGTTAAATCTCCAATCCAAAAGCGAACGCTGAATGCCTGCCAGGAGCAGATCCCGAATCCCGACAGAGACCGCCCGCCCAAAATGATCACGCAGAATCAATGCAATGCGTCCGAAGCGCAGAAACACCAACTGGATCTCTTCGCGAACAGTGCATAAGAATAACCGACAGGACCACACTCAAAGCCCGCGCCGAACGTTCATAGCAACAGCTATCGGGCGGAGTCAAATATCCATTCCAAGTTCCTCGAAGAAGCCAAACCAAAGGCAAACACTGAATGCCTGCCAGGACCGGATTCCCAATCCCGACAGAAACGACCCACCCAAAATGATCAGGCAGAATCTAGGCAATGAGTGCGAAACGAAGAAGCGCAACCTCGAATCGGCAAGAGCCGAAGGCCCGGATGAAGCCCTCCTGGAACCCTACTTGCAGCCTTTAATATGCCCTGCACGCACAACGAAGCCAAAGTTCATACCTTCCAAGCAACTGCCCCGACCTGCTGGGAAACGCAGATGGCATACCAGACAAACACCTGTGAGTGTGCCGGGAGCAGCTCATCCAAATGCAATGCGCTTGCTAGCTGCATACGATGCAAACAACGGGGTCTGCAGACTGAAAGTCGAGGCCCTGGATCACTTGCCCAAGACGAAAAAACCAAAGCTTCCGCAGGAACTGTGTCTGCCCGAAATGAACACCGCGAATACAACGAAGCCTCGCCGAAGACTGCAAGCCTCGAAAGTGATTCCACCAAGAAGCGTTTGCCGAAGAGGAGAAAGGACGTCGGACCCTGAAAGCCAGCATGAGACGACCAAAACCCCGAGTATCTAACACCGCGATCTTGCAATGTCAGAGCAGGTAAAACCCGAATCAAAAGTGCAATCCATACAGTAACGATCAGCAAATGAAATCGCAGTCAATGGAGTAGGTCCGTGAAGTCTCATGACGCAATGTCCTTGTTCAATAACGCGTCGGTCCAAAGGCAGTTTTTCAGAACTCATACCAATGTTCCTGATGACACGCAACGCGCCTCGCAATACGTGCGTGCAAGAATAAATGTAAGATCAGTCGACATCGAACAGCCGCAATCGAACAATTACATGAGCACAATGCCCCAAGGAATGCGCGCGAAAATTCATGAACTGTCACTCCAATCATTACAATCTCGGTCCCTCGGCTGGAGATGGTGACGCATGTGCACAATCCGTGGCAGCGCTCCTGGTACATGCCCGTCTCTTAGTAGTTCTTGAACAATTTTCAAGCAGACGTTCAAAGCAGCATAATTCGTCAAAAGTCGTGACAACAGATCGCAACGCACGTGCTCAATGCAAGCTCGCCTTCTTTGCACAGGTAGTGTTATCGCCACCACCGGGCCCAAATCGGCCGATACGTACAACGCAATGTATTAGGATGCACTCTATTACAATGAGTCGTGGAAACAAGTCGCATATCGGGGGCAGAGGTAAGGAAACTAAGCAGGCATCTGCACGTTGCAATTATTCCGTGGCTTACTGGTCCTACAAGAGCTTCGGGACTAGCAGTACCGCTTGCTTTCAATCTCGCATCTTGCGAGTTCTGCCTCCTTCCAGAACGAAACCTGAAGCAAGGACACAAACTGAAGTCCTTACGTCCCTTCCCAAACGCCAGCTGCAAAGAAACCCACAGGGGCGGCTTCGGGATGGGGGTAAGAAGATTCCGAAACTGCCAGCACCACCTCCCGCATCGGCCGTCCCTGCCTCGACGAATCGAGCACTGGCCCAGGGCTCGTCGTGCCCAGGAAAGCCTTTCCAACACAGGTGAATCACGACGAGGAAACCGCGAGAAGTGGTTCACAGCGATTTTGCGTCGCACAACGGCCCCCCTTGAAAATCGACGTGACAGTCCTGAGCCGCACATCCGAAACTGCGGTCGATCCAAGACAGCGAAGTAGCCGCAGCCTCGCACTTTGGCAAGACGGCGTCCATGCGGTGCTGCGGCCATGTCTCGTTCAGACAGGCATCTCCATGCGGATGGCACAGTATCTGGATCCGAGGGCTCAAGCTCGATAGATCGTCACGTGTCGTCCACTGAAATAACGCTGTTTGGCGAGACTCCGGAAGTCCACTGAAGGAGGTGACTACGGGCCTCCGCGACGACGGCCGCCACTTGCTGTTCCAAAAAAGGCAGGAGCCCTTCCAAGAGTTGTTGAGCACGCAGCACGGCATTTGGCGTGTGCTCTGTCTCAGTCGCGTTTCTCTTTGCTTGCAGTGGAACCGTCTCTTCGAAGAGCTGTGCCTGCCCCGCCTGACAAGCTTCCTCGGGCAGACTAGGCTGCCGCGGGTTGGACACCTCCGATGGCTCGGGAAGACATGGAGGCAAAGGCGGCAGCGGCAGTCTCGAGCCCGACTCGGCCACCGACTTCTCGTATTGTGCAACCAACGCCGTGTCTGTGCTGTTGTGCCCAGAACTCGAGGCACGACGCCGCTTGCAACTTTTCCGTCGATCGCCGCTGCAGTGCTCGCCCCCTTGTATCCAGCGCAGCAGTAAGTCCAAATAACCACAGCCTCGATGGACGGCGAGCCGTCCGGCGTGGATGCTCTGAGTAAAATTGTAGAGGGAATCTTCGCAAAGAGCTAAATGAGCATCGTCCATTGCAGCCAGCGCATGGGCGACGCATGCCGCGCTTTCTTCCATCACCGGCGTTATCGAGGGCACGTGCTTCCAGCGGCGCAAAAAAGCTCTGGCTTCTCGCAAAAGCTTGTCCGCGCGACATATCTCGGCGAACAGCACATCCAAGCTCAGTCGCTCGTGATGCTCGACGAGACAGTTCAACACTTCTCGAACTTCCCCCAGAAAGTTGCGCTCATAAACTCCTCCCGGCTCCTGAGAGGCCGTGATAGGATTGCTTTCATGATTCGATGCCAGGCTGCCCTTGCGCTTGTTGTGAAAGAAGCAAGCCCTGTAAACGAGATCGGTAAGCTCTTCGTTTGACTGGACAAGAGACTGTTGCAGCAGAGCAGACAAGGTTCTCTGCAGCAGCTCGACGTTTTGCAATGGCCGGCCTCCTTCGCAAGGAAGCAGCAATGCCCGATCTCCGCCACCCAGAGAAGTCGTCTCGGCAGCCTCCATCGCTGGGAGTTCCACGGCCCAGCAGCACCCCGAGCTTTCGCAAGACAGCGTCCACTCGGCGATGCCGCGGAGACCAGCAAAAGGGAAATGCAAATCGAGCCCAGGCTAGGTAACGAAAACAGCAGAATTGGAAGCAACCTCGGAGCGGAGAACATCGGCAAGCCAACCGACTTCAATGCCACCCCCCTTCAGAGCGATTCTCTTGCTGAGGACAAGACCGATAGACCTCGCGGTGCGAGTCGAGACAGCCTAAGCAGCAACAGCAGCCATGCCAAGCCCTGCAAACCACGATCTGAATCTGGACCCGGACCCCGATGAGAGCAAAGTTCGGCAAGTGCGTTGTGGCATTTGAAGTGAATGAAATCATTTTGTTTTGGCAGAAGCGCAAGCACCACCGCAAAAGATCAGCGCCTCGGGAATGAATGGCCCCAGCCCCGCACTTTCGCAAGACAGCGTCCATGCGATGCCGCGGCCATCCTACGCGAAGCTCAGCGAGCGTTCCTCCACGGCCGCCACATCCAAGTACTGCCTCGTCCAAGCCGCTGTCTAAGCCACGTGGTGGCCGAAGCCCCGCACTTTCGCAAGACAGCGTCCATGCGGTTCCGCGGCCAGCCTACATCTGCGAGGCAGCGGCAACACTTTCCTGCGCAAACGTGGCTCGATGCAAACGCACGTAGGCACTCAGATAGCGCATGTGCGTAAATGCAAGGGACGTCGCTTGTGCAGCCACGGCTTGGATTTCCTCGTCCGACATCCAAAACCCCACCACTCCAAGCAATGGCTCCAATGCTCCGTCTTCTTGTGAGGCGAGATGTTATCGTAAGAGCACGCTCTGACCCTCAGGAAAGCAACAAGGCCCCTGGCCACATTGTGCAGCTCGGCCGGCACAAAGCCAAAGTCCTGCTCCTCTGCAGCAGCTGTCGGCTGTACAAAGCACTTCTCCTCGATGAAGTCGTTCAGCTGGAGAACCATGCCATGCTGGGCAAACTTGAACATGCCTCCATCGGTTTTGCTGGATTGCTTTCGCGGCTTCGTTCTCGCCGGCCGCTCCCTGCATCCGGCCGGTCGCTGCCCTGTTTCGTTGCAGCGCTCCAGCGGCAGAAGTTGGTGCAGGTTCCGCAGCAATGCCTTCCGCGGATCAAAACAATGCAGAAGACACACGAGCGAGGAAAACAAAACGAACAAAGTAATGTACAGCTTCGAACACTTTCATACTTAGCAAAGCGACCGTCAATGGCTTGTGCCGGTAGCTGGGAATGTCTCGCATCCTCTTGTTCGGTTGCTGGTCGCCATAAGTGATCCCTTCGGCTTCGCGCTCTTCTCGCGTGAGGGGCTTTTCGTCCAGTTTAGTCGTCTTTCGATTGACCCGTCCATGTGTGTCTAGATCATGGATAGGCTTGTTGTAAAAGCCCCTCTGGTCAGCGACGACGGTCACGTCCTTCATCGCCTTCTCCAGGGTTTCCAACGTCAACTTAGGTGCCTCTGCACGCTTTTGAGTCTTGCCAACCACAATCTCGTGCCAGTCCTGCAAAGACTTGGGCCAGCTGTCCCGATTCATTTGATCCCAGTAGACCCGCGCGAGGGAAGCGTTGACATGCATGCACCGACGCACTCTGTGACGCTCCGCATATTTGTCGGTGGGCGTCCATGCGGTACTGCAGACAAGCTCAACCCGAAGAAGCCCGTGCTTGCGCTCGCCCTCCTTAAGCATGTGAGAGACATCCCGTGGTGTCGCCGCCAAAACGTGCGCTTGCACGTGTTGAACCGATTCAATCACCTCGACGTCCTTCTCCTTCACGTTGCACAAGAGCTCTATCGCAGTATCGCCTTCTTCCTTGGGCAGCATCTGGAACATCACCAGTGCACTGCGACCAAGCAACCCCACGCACACGGTGGGTCCCCATTCGCTTAATTCTCGCGATGCATCCATGCGTTGCCTGAGCTCAGCGGCCAGCAAGACACCGCACCTTTGAGTTGCCGAGGTCCGGACATCTTGGCACACTCCGACTCTTCAGTAGGCGGTTCATTCCTGACCGTCGGATATGTTAGCCGTCGACGAGACAGCGCCAGTGCCACGACCCGAGGCCCGCCTCGTGACTCGAGAACCGGACTTCTCGGCAGGCTCCGACTCTTCCCGCGGCGACTCTTTCCACGTCTACTTCCTGGCCTTCACGCACCTTGGGTCGCGGGCAGGAGCCCCGTTGCACGCCCGTGAAAAGCAAGCACGAGGACGCATGCAGGGTCCTCTGCACAGTTGCTGGCAGGAGCCAACCACTGGCCGCCATCGTCGTGGCCTGAGATCCGGACTTCTCGGCAGGCTCCGACTCTTCCCGCGACGACTCTTTCCGCGGCTCCTTCCTGGCCTTCACGCACCTTGGGTCGCGGGCAGGAGCCCCGTTGCACACACGTGAAAAGCAAGCACGAGGATGCATGAAGGGTCGTCTGCACAGTTGCTGGCAGGAGCCAACCACTGGCCGCCATCGTCGTGACCTGAGGTCCGGACTTCTTGGCAGGCTCCGTCTCTTCCCGCGGCGACTCTTTCCACGGCTCGTTCCTGGCCTTCACGCACCTTGGGTCGCGGGCGGGAACGCCGTTGCACACACGTGAAAAGCAAGCACGAGGAGGCATGCAGGGTCGTCTGCACAGTTGCTGGCGGGAGCCAACCACCGGCCGCCATCGTCGTGACCTGAGGTCCGGACTTCTCGGCAGGCTCCGACTCCTTCGACGGCTCGTTCCTGGCCGTCGGATTTCTTTCGTTGCACACACATGAAAAGCAAGCACGAGGATCCGCTGGCAGGAACCAAGGACTGGCCGCCATCGTCTCGACTTGAGGTCCGGACTTCTTGGCAGGCTCCGACTCCTTGCACGGCTCGTTCCTGGCCGTCAGATTTCTTTTGCTTGGCCTAAGCTCGGAATCCAACAAGGAGACGCCGACCGCCACCGTCGTGACTTGAGGCCCGGACTTCTTCGCAGGCTCGGACTCCCCCGTCGGCTGGCTCCTGGCCGTGAGGTCTTGTGCACTAGCTCCTGTTTCCAGCCACAATCCCCAGAACACCTGTCGGCAAACGAAGATGCGGGAGACGTCGAAATCCTCGCGATCAGGACATACGATCAACCGCAAAGCAACGAGCACGAGCAGCCAGCTCTTTCTGCCGAGAAGCCTGAACATGTGCTCTGCAAATGCACGCATTATCTTTTCGTCGATCCTGCAAACTGCGAGTGCAACACACAGTGACACACACACACACGCAGACACATTTATGAGTTTCATGTCCAGAGAGAACCTGTCCTCGCCCAATACAGTTGTTGACCCCAAAAATTTTCAGCATGTTGGCCCAAGTACCGGCGACACATGTTCTCGAAAAGCGGCACCAGCCATTGCCGCCACGTTTCATGAGTGCCTCCCTTTCCCAGCAGGTCGACTGTTGCCTTGCAAAAGCGCTGCATGATCTTGTACAGCAGCTGGCCATCTTGGCGGGTCGTTTGTTCACTTCTGTTCTCTAGGGCCGCGACGTCCAAGAACTGCAACCGCTCGTAGTTTCCCTCGTCCATGCCGTAGTTGTCAGGTTTGGCATCCCAGAGGGTCCACCCGTTCTCGAAGAATGTGCCGAACATGACGAGCGCGGATGTCCACAGTTTCAGGTGCTCCTCAAGCAACCGATCCGTCATGGGCAGCTGCCAAAGCTGCAACAGTGCCGTCTCCATAGAAAGCCCAACGCGATCGCAGACCATGATGGCGCCTGCGACCTTCGAGTCCCTGGCCCTGGGATCGTCTTCACTCCCTGCCATAAACCAGCCACAGTCGCCCCACAGGTGCACGCCTCCGTAGTAATGGGGCATGCACGGTCGTACTTTGCCACTCCTCTCGTACGCACCCCTGTACATTTTCAGCTCGCGCAGCGGATCGTTTTTCCCCATCCAGTCATTTTTGTTCATGCCCGCATTGGGCACGATCTTCACCGCCAACTTCCAGGTCTCCAAGCCGTAGACCACCTTGTAAGCTCCGGTACCCAGACGGTAGAGCATTTCGTCGATGAAGATGGCACCGCCGCCGGGCACGCGGAACTCGAGCTTGGCTCTGCCTTTCCGCCATCTGATCATTGGGTTTTTCTTGCTGTACCCGTCCATGTCTGCTTGCAGCTCTGCAGCGAACAAATAGGCATTCGAGGGCAAGGAGCGGGCCGCCATAGCCCAGCGGCACACCGAGCTTTCGCAAGACAGCGTCAACCCGGCGGCACCGCGAAGACTAGCGCCGCCACAGAAATCGAGCCCGAGCTACGCAGCAGCCCAGCGGCACACCCAGCTTTTGCAAGACAGCGTCCACTGGGGGTCACCGCGAAGGCCAGCGCGACCACAGGAATCGAGCCCGAGCTACGCGGCACGCACAAATCGAAAAAGCATACAAAGGAATGCATGCAGTCAAATTGAAAGCGCATGGAATGCAACTCTCATCAGAGCGATTGTCTTGCTGAGGACAAGACCGGTAATTCTCGTGGTGCGAGTCGAAGCAGCCTAAGCAGCAGCAGCAGCAGCAGCAGCAGCAGCAATGACAAGTGCAAGGCTTTGCTCGAAGCGGCCATCCAAGTCACCATCTAAAGCTCGAACCGGCTCTGGCGGGATTTTGACAGAAGCGCCGCCAAGCCCGTCACAACTAGCCGCCTGGGCCATGATGAGTTGGCCGCAGCCCCGCGCTTTCGCAAGACAGCGTCCACACGGTTCCGCGGCCATGCTACATCTGCGTGTCAGGCTTTGCTCGAAGCGGCCCTCCAAGTCACCATCTAAAGCTCGAACCGGCTCTGGCGGGATTTTGACAGAAGCGCCGCCAAGCCCGTCACAACTAGCCGCCTGGGCCATGATGAGTTGGACGCAGCCCCGCGCTTTCGCAAGACAGCGTCCACACGGTTCCGCGGCCATGCTACATCTGCGTGTCAGCGGCGCTACCTCAGCCCGCACTTTTGCAAGACAGCGTCCGTGCAGCAGAAAAGTGCATCCTACATCTGCGCGGCAGCCAGCTCTTTCTGCCGAGAAGCCTGAACACGTGCCCTGCAAATGCACGCATGCACGCTTCGTCGATGCTCCTGCAACGTGCGAGTGCAACACACAGTGACACACCCACACGCCACGTATGGTTTAGGCTTCAGACTTCCGGCTTATTAAGGATTTAATGTCCAGCAAGCACCCGTCCTCGACCAAAACAGTTGATCACCCCAAACAGGTGCAGCTTCTGGACCGAAGTACCGTCGACACATGGTTTGGAAAAGCGGCTGCAGCCATGTCTGCCACGTTGGATGAATGTCTCTACTTGTCAGCAACTGGACTGTTGCCCTGCAACAAATCTTCATGATCTTGTACAGCAGCTGGCCTTCAAGGTGATTGGGACTAAGGCTTCTCCTCTCCATGGCCCCGGCGTCCAAGAACCGCATCCCATCGTAGTCTCCCTCGTCCACGCCGTAGTTTTCAGGTTGCGCATCCCGGAGCACCCACCCGTTCTCGAAGAATGTGCCGATCATGGCGAGCGCGGATGTCCACAGTCGCAGGTGCTGCTCGCGCAACTGCTCCGTCATGGGCTGTTGCCACAGCTGCAACAGTGCCGTCGTCATAGAGATCTCAACGCGATCGCAGACCAGGACGGCGGCGGCGACCATCGGCCCCTCGTCCACCTCAGTCCCTGCCAAAGCGTCGACCTCAGTCCCTACCAAAGCGTACTTGAGGTCGCCCCACAGGTGCAGGCCTCCGTAGCACCGGGGCATGTACGGACGCACTGCCTCATTTTGGGACGCCCTCAAGTACTGCCTCAGCTCCCACCGCGGATCGTTTGTCGTCATCCAGCCTTGTTTGTTCATGCCGGCATTGGGCACCATCTTCACCGCCAACCTCCAGTTCTCCAAGCTGAAAGCCACCTTGAAAGCCCCGCAACCAAGACGGTCCATCCTTTCCTCGATGGCGATGGTAGCAGATCTCCCGGGCACCCGGAAGACAAGCTTGGCTGTGCCTGTCTGCCATCTGAGCAATGGGTTTTTCCTGGTCCACCCGGTTGCTCGCAGATCCGCTTCGACCAAATAAGCATCCGGATGCAAGGACCTGCCTGCCATAGCCCAGCGGCACACCCAGCTTTTGCAAGACAGCGTCCACTGGGGGTCACCGCGAAGGCCAGCGCGACCACAGTAATCGAGCCCGAGCTACGCGGCACGCACAAAAAAAAAAGCATGCAAAGGACCGCATGCAGCGAAATTGAAAGCGCATCGAATGCAACCCTCATCAAAGCGATCGTCTTACTGAGGACAAGACCGGTAGTTCTCGCGCTGCGAATCGAAGCAGCCTAAGCACTAGCAGCAATGACAAGTGCAAGGTTTTGCTCGAAGGCGGCCCTCCAACTCCCCATCTAAAGCTCGAACCGGCTCTGGCAGGATTTTGACAGAAGCGCCGCCAAGCCTGTCACAACTCACCGCCTGGGCCATGATGAGGTGACCGCAGCCCCGCGCTTTCGCAAGACAGCGTCCACGCGGTTCCGCGACCGCCATCCCACGCCGCCTGGGCCATGATGAGGTGGCCGCAGCCTCGCACTTTCGCAAGACAGCGTCCATGCGGTTCCACGGCCATGCTACATCTGCGTGTCGGCGGCGCTATTCCGGCCTCAGCCCGCACTTTTGCAAGGCAGCGTCCGTGCAGTAGAAAAGTGCATCCTACATCTGCGCGGCAGCCAGCTCTTTCTGCCGAGAAGCCTGAACACGTGCCCTGCAAGTGCACGCATGCACGCTTCGTCGATGCTCCTGCAACGTGCGAGTGCAACACACAGTGACACACCCACACGCCACGTATGGTTTAGGCTTCAGACTTCCGGCTTATTAAGGATTTAATGTCCAGCAAGCACCCGTCCTCGACCAAAACAGTTGATCACCCCAAACAGGTGCAGCTTCTGGACCGAAGTACCGTCGACACATGGTTTGGAAAAGCGGCTGCAGCCATGTCTGCCACGTTGGATGACTGCCTCCCCTTGTCAGCAAATCGACTGTTGCCCCGCAAAAGCGCTTCATGATCTTGTACAGCAGCTGGCCTTCAGCGTGATTGGGATCACAGCTTTTCTCCTGGATGGTCGCGACCCTCAAGAACCGCATCCGCTCGTAGCCTGCCTCGTCCACGCCGTAGTTTTCAGGTTGCGCATCCCAGAGCACCCACCCGTTCTCGAAGAATGTACCGATCATGGCTAGCGCGGATGTCCACAGTCGCAGGTGCTGCTCGCGCAACTGCTCCGTCATGGGCTGTTGCCAAAGCTGCAGCAGTGCCGTCGCCATAGAGAACTCCGCGCGATCGCAGACCATGACGGCGGCTGCGACCGTCGACTCCTCGTCGACCTCAGAGGATGCCAGAGTGAAGTCCCTGTCGCCCCACAGATACAGGCCTCCGTAATACCGGAGCAAGTACGGACGCACTGCGGCATTTTGGAACGCCTTCACGTACTGCTTCAGCTCCCGCAGCGGATCGTTTGTCGTCATGCAGCCACTTTTGTTCATGCCCGCACAGGGCACGATCTTCACCGCCAACCTCCAGTTCTCCAAGCTGAAAGCCACGCTGAGACTCCCGCAACCAAGACGGTCGATCCTTTCCTCGATGGCGATGGTATCAGGGCTCCCAGGCACCCGGAAGGCAAGCTTGGCTGTGCCCGTGTGCCATCCGATCAAAGGCTTTCTGCTGTTCCACCCGTCGGTAGCTCGCAGATCTGCTTCGAGCAAGTAGGCATTCGAGGGCAAGGACCTGGCCGCCATAGCCCAGCGGCACACCGAGCTTTCGCAAGACAGCGTCCACCCGGCATCACCGCAAAGGCCAGCGCCACAGCAATCGAGCCCGAGCTACGCGGCACACACAAAAAGCATCCAAAATACTGCATGCAGCGAAACTGAAAGCGCATCGGATGCAACCCTCATCAGAGCGATCGTCTTGCTGAGGACAAGACCGGTAATTCTCGTCGTGCGAGTCGAAGCAGCCTAAGCAGCAGCAGCAGCGACAATGACAAGTGCAAGGTTTTGCTCGAAAGCCCTCCAAGCCACCATCTAAAGCTCGAACGGCCTCCAGACCCCCAATCGAAAGTCAGGTTTAGCATAGCAAGTTACGGCATCGGAAGTGGCGGGATTTTGACAGAAGCGCCGCCAAGCCTGTCACAACTCACCGCCTGGGCCATGATGAGGTGGCCGCAGCCCCGCGCTTTCGCAAGACAGCGTCCACGCGGTTCCGCGGCCGCCATCCCACGCCGCCTCGGCCATAAGGTGGCCGCCGCCCCGCACTTTCGCAAGACAGCGTCCATGCGGTTCCGCGGCCATGCTACATCTGCGTGTCAGCGGCGCTCTTCCGGCCTCGGCCCGCCCTTTCGCAAGACGGCGCGGTGCTGCTCTTCGCGGCGGCCGGCAGGTCTTCTTCTGGCCCCAAACCCGCGAAGACGTCTTCTGAATTGAACCCGACGCTCGAAACCGGACAAGCGCAGTGCCACGTCGAGGGGAAGATGCCCGAGTTCGTCACGAGCCTGGGGGCTAGCTCGCGCCCGCACCAAACACGTCACCCAGTTCAGACTGCCTCTTTCAGCGGCTTGATGAAGCAGATGAAAGTTCTCCGTGTAAGGTCGCACTGTAGCACCGGCTCGCAGCAAAGAGATTACCGGACCGATCGAAGAATCTATGAAGCACCTTTCGATGGGACCGCGACCTTTGGCATCCTCCTGAGAAGCGTCCGCCGCATTTCGCAGCAGAAGCCGCACCATCGATCTCGAACCCATCGACGCGGCAATGAGCAAAGGAGAG